TGCTGTTACAATAGATAAAACAGCTGCTCTGGCTGCAGTGTGGGAAGAGGTGCCCTGAAGTGTAGCCTGCAGGGGCATCTCCCTAAGACCCCAGGGGCCCCCGAAGGCCCTGGTCTGGCACAATCTGCAGCCTTCCTGGCTCACTCCCCTAGAAGCTGGGTTAGAGGACCTGGGTGCTTGGGCCCAGTTAACGGGTCCAGGGGTGAAGCAGATGTGAGTGTACCATTTTTATTATGTATGAGTAGAACTTGAATGTCTGTTGTTAGAAGTGGATGAGTAGGAGATAGAAGGAAAAGGACAAATTCGTCTTTAAATGATCCTCTCCCAAGGCCTGACCCAGAAAGAGACAAGGAACCTGGTCTTTGTTTACAGGCAAGCAGTTTCTGAGTCTGCGCAGACCGAGTGTGGCCTCGAGGGAGGGTGTGATTCTGCCCTGAGAACCCATGAAACCAAGCACAGAGGGGCTGGTGAGGGGGTGTGCATTGGCCCCACGGAGAAAGAAGGGCTCCTTTGTGACATGTGGCTCATCCTGACCACAATTTTTCCACAAATAAGGTATGCTATGTGCTCTAGGCTGTGCTGGTGACATTTCTTAAGTGTCAATGAACTTTCAAATTTTTTAATTACTAGGAAAATACCAATGAAAATGAAGGTCCACGGATGACTTTGGCTTTAAATTCACTAAAAGAACACAGTAGGCTAATTGGAGCTGCAGAGCACTGCCCGGCCACAGTGCGAGAGCCAGCTCCCAGGAGCACCAACGAGCAGCTGCTACACAATAATTTCCATCCCCATTGTTCAGCCCCAATTGGACATTTCACAAATGGGAGCCAGTTCCCTTGCCAACCTTAAACGCACCTGAACAACTCCCCTCAATTGCAGCCCCAATTGGAGGTCCACACAGAGGGCTTATGGTACCGAGATAAGTGGGCTCTGGAAGGTTCAGAAACATGCTGAGATGAGGGCTACAGTGTAGGCCATTAACTTCACAGCACCATGTCCTATTGAAAGAGCTTGGGATGTGTCCTTCCAAGACAATGGTGGCTCCGAGGAGGATATGAGCATTCATGCGAATCCAAGCTCCTTAACGAGGCAGCATGACATCCTACGGTCTGGTCTCAACTCTTTTTCCCAGCCTCTTCTCCACTCATTCTGGTGCATGTACATTCTAGTGATAAGGTACCCTGAGCATGACCGCATCAAGTTTCCCTGCCATGGCACAGGTTGTTGCCTTCCTTGTATCTCTAGTGAACTCCTATTCGTCCTACAAAGCCCAATTTTAAAGAGTCAAAGGATTTTCTCCGATGCTGAAAATTTATTAATGGATTGTCATTCCTCTCAGGGAAGATACCCAAATCTTCCCCAAGGCTCAAAATTTGCATGATCAGATTCGTGCCTACACCACAAGTTCTATTTTCCAAGGCTTGTTTTCTGACCATTCTTGAGCCTCAATGGCCTTTCTGATCTACAGATGGAGCTGAGAGGGCAGGTCTGCGTGTGAGGGTTAGTCCTGGGGAAGTAGATCAAGGAGCATGCAAGGAGCCCTGGGGAGGCTGGAATCACAGAAGTCATAGAGCGCCCAGATCTTGCAAAGTGTCTGCCATGTTGAGTTTAAGTGCAAGGAGCAGAGAGCGGGTGGAGGAGGGGACCACAGATGGTTTCAAATTGTGACTTTCATTTGACTCAAACATGCCAAGGACACTGCATGTGCCCAAAACCTAACTCATAACAACTGTGAATTAGGTGTCATCCAAGTTTTATGCGTAAGAAAATAAAAGCTCAGGGAAGTTAGGGTTTCTGCTGGGTCCACACAGCTGATAAGAGGCAGGGCTGGGATTTGGATTTGATTCAAATTCAAACTTTTCTATTTCCAAAGCCTAAACTCTTTTTTGTTTGTGGAGGGCCACGGAAGGGAGTATACAGCAGGGGATTAGCAAAGGGCATGCAGCGTTCCTGTGGCTTTTCAGTTCCAGGGTTGTCAGATGTGTCAGAAGGTAAAGGGTTTATAGTGTCTGTGTCAATGTACATCAGCTCCTGCATTTTCCTAAACATGTAATTACATCAACTTAATGATCAACTAGCAATAGGGGCAGTGAGCCACAGTGAAAGGAGGGCATGCTTTGAAGATGTGGGGTCAGGCTGACTTCATGGGGTGACGTGGGGTGACCTGTCAGAGCCTCAGTTTCTGTATCTACAGCTGTGACTAACAACACTTTCTGATGTGACTATAGACATCCCATGTATGTAAAGAGTCTCCTTGCAACACTGGCTCTAAAAATATCCACCAAGAAATGACATTAAGGACTTCCACTCACATTTAATTGGCCAAAGCAAGTCACATGACCACACCTAACTCTAACAAAGATTGGTCCTAACATCTATCTGGCAAGAGGACAGAAATACTCAGTTAATACCTTAGTAATCATTCTTTCTCTCACATTCTTGTAAAATAAACATATACTTTTTTTTAATGTTTGAAAACTTTTTTTTTTTTTTTTGCGGAATAGCTTTCAAATACATTGTAATCAGATACAATATGAGAGCTATTTCTCAAGTGACAATTCTATCGTTAGATGTGGCCTAGGATACTAGAGAAGGAAACACCTCACTGAGAATGGATTCCAGGGCCACAGACAACCCTCCCCACCCTAGGGTAGAGGCCTGCAGAGCATTAGCCCAGAGGGATTTCAGAATTGCTATGGACCAAAGACTGCTGTATTTCTCAAATTCTTCCTCTTTCTTAGTGGAATTGTTTTTCAGTTATTCTGTCTCATTTCACTGTTGCATAGTGTGTGTGTGTGTGTGTGTGTAGAGGATAATGGTTATGGTTGTGAAAAATGATTCTTTCCATTAGTTCATATCTAGATCAAGTGAAGCCACATCTATACATCTATGCTGGGTATGGAACCTCCCATGTATCTCATCCTGATGAAGAGATCACCAGGAATCACTCAGAAAGCCTGGACACTGAGCTGGGAGCCAGTAACAAGGTGGGACTTGGGGTTGTCTCATTTAGGGAAGGGTGGTTGGTATTTTTTTTAATGTGGGAAGGACAGTCAAAAAATATCTGTTGACTAGGTGGACAGTCTGTGGTTCTCATTAATGCTGCTCATAAAATATTTTTGGTTTTTTTCCCAGCCACATTATAGATTTCACTTCCCTGTCCTTCAGTATGGCCATATGACTTGCTTTGGCCAATAAAAGGTGAGTAAAAATGATTGGTGTCACATGTAGGTGAAAACTTCAAGAGCTTGGGCTTTCTTTTTCTTCTTCCTCAGTATTCAGCAGTGTGCCTGCCCTGTCTGCTTGGGATGCAGATGAAGTAAAAGCAGAGACGAGCCTCCATTGATTTGCAATGAACATGAAGCAAGAATTATTTTCAGTAACTGAAAATCGGGGCTTGCTTGTCACTGCAGTACCACTTAGTCTATTTTTGATTCAAAGAGATCATATTAATTCTTTATGAAATCACTTTTTATTTTGGTGGGATTGTTTTCCTGCCCAGCGAGCATGAAAGTAGACAGCAGTGGTTATAACTGGCCTTGTAGAATTGGGGGCAGGTTTCCAGTGCAGGCTGGGTGACAGAAATCCAGATATGGTCTCTGAGGACCATTAAGGAAAGTCATGGTAAGGTTCATGGTCAGGACAGGAGTAGGACCCTCATATAGTATGGGAAGTATCAGGGCTATGCTCCAAAGTATCCACAGGCTGGCTGTAGTGCTGGGTAGGGCATCGAGCCACACCAGGGGGCCATCGCTCTAGCACAGCTGTGCTCAGTGACTAATGATTCCCGTGCAACCTCTGAGTCAGTGCCTTGCTATACTAATTAGTTTCATGGACTCTTGCCAGATGACAGTCTCTCTTTCCTGGTATTCTAGGGAATTCTGACATACTGAGGAAACTCTCGTCAAGTTCTATTGAAATGATTAAGGAACTTTTTACTATCATGTGACATATGTCAGACATCAAGTAGGTGACCTCAGCTCAAAAGCACTTCTTCTTTCCTTGCCTCATTCATGCTTTGTTTCCTTCCTGGATTTTGTATTCCTGCTCCCAGAGCTGCACTACCAGTGCATGCACTGACCCCATCGTTTATTGCATGGATCTCTCCAGAACTCACTCTTTGTTCCAGAGGGGCCCAGTCTCCTCTAGCTCACCCTTTGGTTGGCTGGTCTTCTGAAAGCATATTCTTATATCAGAGCCCACCTCTCCCTTCAGTCCTCCATGGTGAATGGTCCAAGTCACAAACCTTAGTATTTTCACAGAATCCATCACCATGAGGTGGGTCATCGCAAAGGACTAATCTGCTTATTTGGGGAGTATTTTCCTTCCCCTCTGCTCTCTCACTGGTACTTCAAAGCACCACAGCCCTTAAGGGAGCAAAAACAGAGTCCAAAGGATCTGAGTGAGAGAAAGAAGGGTTACATGCCTGTTCTTGGGAGAGCTGCTTTTCCTGATTCCAAACAGAAGACTAGCCTGGGTTTGTGTGTTGGAGGAAAGGAAGTGAGAAGGGAGCAGAGAGCTTTGAACTTGAGAGTGGCCTCCCATGGCCTCATGTGTGTGGGAAATTCATTGCCCACAGCTCTGTGACTTCCATGAACAGAGGGCTGGGACTTGGGCAACTTGTGTGGCCAATGTGGTACTTTAGAGAGCCAACTGGCCATTCTGATACAGGATTCTGTATTCAACCTTTTCCTATTCATAACCCAGTCTGAAACTGGCTAAGGTTCCAGAACAATAAAAGGCATTAGCAACTCAGAGGCAACCATGGAACTGCTCATGATGATCTAAAATTAAAATCTGGTTTCAAGCTAAGTATTTTATTATTACACAAGCTTAGTGTCTATGAATCCATATTTTTATAAGTCCTGTTTTATTAGTAAGTGATAGAACATTTTCTTGGCCAATTCCAACACCATTCGCTATTCCCTTTTCTCTATCAGTACCTTTCATAGATTGCACACAGATGGGCCAGGGAGAAGGACTTGAGTTAGGATTACCTTGCCAACATGCGCCGACCGTAAGTTGCATGGCTATGTGAGATGGATGAATGGGCCAATCGTTGGTCACCAGGTAAGGTTCATATGTTGCTCCATCCATGTATAAGGTAACCACAGGAAACTCCACATTGATGACATAGTAATGCCACTCTTTGTCACAAATCTAATGAAAAGAAAGAGAAGCAACACTTAAAATTGAATATGCAATGAAATAGCAAACAGGCTTTTATTCGAATTATCAAGAGTGGAGAAGGCATTTTTGGGTCAACAATTTTTATTGCAAAGAACTCAATGAACATAGTGATTGATAAACACTGAAGTTATACAAGCTCACATCAAACAGGATGGGGCAAACCATGGGGTAGAGGAATGCCTGAGAATGCAATCATCAGGCAAACATCTGAGTGAGGGCAGGTCACGTAATTACCAGCTATATAGGCTGGAAAGCTCTTGGTGGACAGGTGGGGCAGTGTCAGCTTAAATTTGCTTTGTATAAAATTTTTCTTACTAGAGAAAAATTAAATTGAAATTATTTTTCTAAGTTTGGGGATAGACGAAGCTATAAAAAGAAACAGGCTAGATCAAAAGTAGAAATGAAGATGGAGAAGGGCATGAGAAAGGCAAAAAAAGAAGAAGAAAATGAAAGAGGAAAGAATTAGGAGTAAAAAAGAAGAGAAAAGGCAGTGAACATGGGAAGAGGAAGAGGGAGGAGACGCAGAAGAAAAGGAACCACCCGATTCCTTTGTCTCTGTGTGAAGCTTTGCCTGGGGTGCTGTTGTAATCTCATGCTCTGTTTAACTCAAGCAAAATCCATTCTGAGAGAGACAGTCTTCCTTCAGAGGACTAGGCCTTGTCCTACCTTGGAGCACCTGGGGAGGCTCAGAAGGACCACAGATAGGTCCCCTGGCCTGGGCGTGGTCCTCCTGACCACTAAGACTTGTGGTCTTAGGGCTGGGAACCAAAACTGAACCCTAATCGGTGGGTAGGAACACTGGGGACTAGTAGGGAGTCACAGTTCCTGACCTTAAGGGGCTGAACCCCCAGCAGGCTCCAAAATGTTAAACCAAGATTGGGATATTTTGGGGAAGGAAGATCGGAAGCATAAAAGAAAGAAAGGCTGAGGAACAATGCTCCCCTCTAATCCCGAGTGAGTGCCTTGGAAGTCACGGTAGACTTTCTCTCTTCCACACTCCCTGTCCCTGCCATCCCTCGGCGCCCCACCGAGTCCATCTCCGAAATGTCTCTCATCTGTATCCTCTTGTCTCCATGGCCCCTGCCATCTGTGGCAGCAGAGACAGATGAGTTCTGCGTGAAGGTGACCCCAAGGTGAGGGCATCAAAGCCCTCCCACATCCCACAATGGATTAAACGCGCTGTTTCTCATGAATAGATAACACCAATGGGGACGCTAAATGATCTTTTCCCTTTCATTTTGCAGTAAGAATTTTTCCTTAATGTTCTTTTTATATTGTCCTATCTCATGTCTCAGAAAATTGCTCCTTTTGAAGCCCATTAGGCTGATAAAGCCTGATGAATATTTTAGGGGTCCGTGGAAGATAAGCAGAAGGGGCCCAGGCAGATTCTCCAAAGTCCTGTTACGCTCCACTGACTGTACAGCCCAGCGCCTGTTACAGCTCACCAGAGGCCCTAACCCAATTACACTCCCCTCCTGCTCCAGGCTCGACACCAGACGCTGGGCGGGGTGCAGAGCCCACCGGCTGGGCCTGCGTGACTGGGTGGGCCTGCTGCAGGCGTGTAGATGTGGCACAAAGGAAGACCTGGAGACAGAGTCTAGGGGTGATGGGAGAGTGAGGGACGAGGAAGAGGAAGCATCAATCTGAGGAGGCCCAGTGCACCCTGGACGTGAGGTTTGCAACCAGCCAGGCAGCAGATTCCAGAACCTGGACTATGGTTGATATCCGGGGATGTCCTCTGAGGCACCAGGAAACCTCTGGTCATCTCAGAGTGCAGAGGGACCCTGACATACCCTGTGCCCTTTGAAATGTAGGCAGAGCATGAGCATCAACCAGGCAGCCCTGGGGTCGCCCCTATCCTGGCTGCCACCACCCCCTCCCCGAGGACCACCCTCTGGAGCATGACTGCCCTGTTGGATCCATGTGCCCGCTGCCCCTACAGCACTCCACGTCTGCCCACGCTGGTAGAGGGCGGTCCGCTGGCTCCCTTTCTTTCATAACACTTACCACATCTGCGTAGGACAGTACAAAAAGTCCCCAGGGAGAAGTGAGATAATTCCATAGCTCGGCGGCAGCAGCAGCCCCTCCCAGTAGTACATCTTTCCTAGGCACCCCGCCCAGCTTTTCTTTTTTTTTATTGCTTAAAGTATTACAAAGGGTATTACATATGTCTCCTCTTTTCCCCCGCCCTTGACAGTCCCCTGGCCTCCCCTACCCCCCAGTGTCTTATGTCCATTGGTTATGCTTATATGCACGCATACAAGTCCTTCGGTTGATCTCTTACCCCCCTCCCTCCTGCCCCCCAACCCTCCCCGGCCTTCCCACTGCAGTTTGACAGTCTGTTCGAGGCAGCTCTGCCTCTGTATCTATTTTTGTTCATAAGTTTATAATGGTCTTTATTATCCATGAATGAGTGAGATCATGTGATATCTTTCCTTCATTGACTGGCTTATTTCACTTAGCATAATGCTCTTTTCTGAAGTGTGAATCGCAGTCCCAGGGGCTGTCTGCATAAAACAGTGACCTTGTACACGCAGCCTCGTTTTACGTGAATTTCCCACTTCATTAGCATATCCAAGACTCCCAGCAGCCTCACCCTATGCACCTGCAATAACTTTCCCACCTTGCTGGAAATGGGCCTTTCTGCTTATAGCATCCCTGAAAACAAAACCATAGCTGGGAAGGCTTGTTCGGATCACCTGCACAAACCATTTGGAAGTTTGCTGCTTTTACTTAACATCAGCATTAAAATGCCTTCACCAACTTCATTTTACATGGCGGTATAATATGGATATGCTATAATCTACTTAAATGTTCCCAATTATCAGGTATTCATATGCAACTGCAATTATAAATGATACTGCAATGAATTTCTTTGTGTATAAATATTTGTCTGCATTTCTGATTAAATCCACAGGAACGATTCCTGGAAGTGGAATTACTGGGTCAAAGGTTGGAGGTATTTTGTAGGCTCTTGGTACATATTGTCAATTTTTTTTTCCTGCAAAGGGTTGTGCCTTAGACTCCTCTGCCCTCAGAGTAGTGCATTGCACCCTTACTACATTAGGCATTAAAAAATAGAAAATCCTGGCCGTTTGGATTTTATGTGGGTCACAAAAGATGGCAAGAAGGATAGTATCCAAGGTCAGAAGGGAAGGGCCTCTGGGAGTGGGGAGCAGCCTGAGTCAAGACTCCGAGGTGTGAATGATTAGAAACTTCCCCTGTCAGCTTCTAATTGGGCATCCAAACAGGCCTTTAGCTCAGCCTAGCTTTATGCCTGCGGACTCCTCACACCAAGTAATCTATGAAGGCAGCTAAAGGAAATGCCTAATTAGGGTTTCATAAATGTGGATCTACGATCAAGAAGAAAACCCATATTAACCCTTGGCTAGAACTGCAGGGAAAAACCACAGCTGAAAAATGATCGAGCCAGGAGGAGGCAGAAGTCAATGTGTCAATGCATAGCTCAACCGAGAAAGAAGGGGAGTAGGCAAAGTTCTTTCCTGGGGGAGAGAACTTTAATTCCCGATTGTGACTCGTTGGAGAATGCAGCTGCACCAAGCATGTCCAACGTCATCCCCTGGTGCCCACAGCCTGCACTGGACCAAAGACCCCCTGCTCTCTGACCCGCAGGTGTGCTCCTGAGGGGGGTTGGGGCTGCTTAGCTGGGAGTGAATCAGAGACCAGAGACCCAGGGCCAGCTGTGGAGGAGTTGTAGCAGGGCCATGTCAGAGGAGGTCTGAGTAGGGAGTAGGCTGGTACTCCAGGGTGAGTCAGGGGCCAGGGAAGCCTCCGCGAGAGGGGAGAGCAGGCTGGGCGGCTGAGGGGTTGGCCCAAATGTCCTTTAAATGCCACATTGAAGTTCTGAGTTGGTCCCTGCCATTCAAGGCGAGGTGCATTTATGTACCAACCACTGTGTGCCAGGGAGCGCGCTAGGGGCTGCATAGGGCGCGGTGCTTGTCAGACACGTGCTTTGCCTTCAAGGGCTTCAGTCTAATGGCATTAAGTACACAAAAGACTCCAATGGAACGAGAATGGAGATGAGAGTGATAGACAAGGCACAGAGCACTGTGAGGCCCCAGGGAGGGGAAAGAGGGCTTCCGGCAGGGAGAAGGGGGTGTGTAGGGTGGATATGGAAGGACTGTTACGATGCCACTCAGAATAGACGGCAAGCACAACATTCCAGGTGCATGGAGCAGACACCTTTTATTCCTTGAATCACCCATCTCGCTTTTCTACTGCCAAGGAAAGTACTAAGTTGGGGCATGTGGAGGCTCACGCATTCATTCGCTTCTGCAGATGTTTACTGAATGTGCATCCTGCTCTGTGAATGAAAGAAAGCACTTGCTCTATGGAGCTTCCAGTCCAGTCACAGAATTGACAAAACCCTTGTTGTGACTCATGCCTGCACAGGTTTTTCAAGGTCCCAGGTTCACCCTGTGGAGGAGGGGGCATCTGATTGCACTGGCAGGAGGACAGGGGCAACGACACAGCTGGGAGGGTCAGGCTGGCTTGGGAAAGGTGAGGAGTGGGCGATGAGGCTGCAAGGGTAGATGTGGAACTGAGCCCCGAGGAGGTGGTCCACTTCTATTCTGTAGGCAATGGGAGATCTGGGTGTTTCCGGGCCAGAGGAGGAGGATGGTCGTCATAACAACAATGAATCTTAGAACACATTTTTCCATTTTGAAGCAGCTTTTCAGATTCCTGATCCTATTTAATCCTTGCTGCAATCTTACAAAGTAGGAGGGCCAGCTGTGTCTTAGGCACCTTTGGAAATAAAGGGAAGAAATGACATGGTTTCTAATCTCAAGGAATTATAAGGAGTAGGTGTAACACACACCCCCCCAGTGTGTGTCTTTCCATTTCACACACAACCAGTGGCTCAGCTCCACATACTCACTACACACACACACCCCCTCACAGCAGAGGCTGATCTCTTACGTGATGCACTTGTATGTCGTTGTCCCTGA